TGGAAAAAGAGTAGTGAATACACAATTACCTATTTTCTTCGTCCTTTTGACAAACCCAGTGGAGTCGATTTGACTGAAAGATTGACCATCCATATTTTTGTTTCCGACACTTGTGGTAAAAATTGAAGTCGAGTCGATTACAATAAATGTTTTGATTAAATTATTTGCGTTTCACTTCGCATCCTATAAGTAAATTATTTCATACTTTAGCACAGTGTCATTTGTTTAGATAAAATGCATCTTAATTAATCAAGGCCGTAAAAGCCAGTAAACATTGTGGTAAAGTGTGTAATGTGAAATGTGTAATCCACAACTTGATTGGCATTGCATAGCTTGCCCCACTGTGTTACTATTCCTATTTTGTCTCAAATAGCTTTCCGTAAATTATATTTTTGTCTTAGATTGCTCTCCATATATTATGTACTGCATTCATTCTTGCATATACTGAACTCAGCCACAACAACAGTTCTTTGAACTTTTTGAATTGTCGTGGTGGCTGAGTTCGGTATAATTCCTGATAAATTCTCCGAAGAAATAGATTAATTCATATGAGATCCAAGTACACGGCAAAACAATACAGGAAATCTTTCAAAATGTCCGGTCAGGGAAAATAACATATGCCTACCTGTTCGAGTTAAATACTATTATTCCCTTATTGCTTCGTGTCATGATAAATGATGGATAACAATTTAATTTATTTCGTATATTGTTTATATCATATTGTGCCATATTATTTTGTCGGCATCTGGACTGTGATTCATGGATTACAATTTGTTTACAGGTCAGTTTGTTCGTTTTGGCTTATTTCAAGTATATTAGAATCGACTTACACATATAACAACAATATTCATAGCCAGAGGTGTTTTTGTGAGGATGACGTCACAACTGTATTTTAAGCATACAGATTACATTTGTAATCCATGAACCAAGGTTCAGCTACCGACAAAATCAAACAATATTAGAAATGAAATAAGTACAATATAAATCATTTATAATGAAATGAACGACAAAGAAATAAGGGAATAATAGTATGTAACTTGAGCAGGTAAATTTTTTTTACAAACGACTTTCGGGTTTTCGCCGCCACATCATCGTTTATATATTATGACTATTTTCTGCAATGAGCAAATCAAAAAGGTTTTTTTTTTTTAATTTTTTCGATATTTTTTCAGAGAATTGGAATAACAGACTCAAAGTAGTGCTGTTAGTTTAAGAATGCCTTTTACGTTAGTAGTATATGAGCTTACACATTGGTCGCATAGGGATTCCCCATTCCATTTCATTTCATGGGGAAAATGCGACCAATGTATAAACTCCCAAAAAAGACCTTAATTCCCTACATTTCATAAATTCTTACAGCAAAACATCCTACATTTCATAAAACATCCTACATTTCATAAATTCTTACATTAAAAAAGACCAAAAAACACCTTAAATCAATTTCCTACATTCCATCAAAAAAAGCATATCAAAAATACCCTTATATAACATAAAAATAACATCTGGTTTTAAAATAATGTAGAAGGGAGATAACTCTTTTTTGGAAAATTTCTACTCAATTTTTAAACCTTAAAAATGGCAAATAAAATACTAGATCCAATCTTTAGATTATACGATCCAATTCGTTATTCATTTAACAAGAAAAAAGAGGATTATATTATCATCTCACCGACTGTTGGTTCTAAATCCCAATTAAATGATGGTGGTAGAATTACCTTCGAAATAAATTCATTATCGAATTGATTGCTTCTTTCCGATGCTTAATTCAGATGTGATTTCAAAATTAAAGATGGAACTCAGAATCAAGTTCCACAAACTAATACAACGTTAGAAAACAATTTCTTTCCATCTTTATTTAGCGAGATGGTTTTGGAAGCAGGTTCAAATCCGATAGAAACAATCAAACACCCAGGGGAATTCGACACAATGTTGAAAACAGTTTTATATCCTAAAGATTTCGATTCAGTCTCAGGTTGGATACCCGATGTTGGTGGTGGAAGTGTTTAAAAGAACCGGTAAGAAATGTTGCAAATGATGCTGATTTAGCTAGAGTGAGAGTTGTTGCTCGAAACACAATAGAAAGAGTAGTACGAGCAGCTAATCATGGATTTGAAAAACGAGTACTTCAGTACAATAATATTGTCGAGAATAATAGGTGGGGTAATTACGTAAATTGGAAATTATATCTTTTATTCGGTCTGTTGGAACATAGAAAAGTCTCCATAGGGTTACCATATAAAATTCATCTACAAGGAGAAATCAACGATGATAAGATATTCTTTGGAGAGAATGGTTCAGATGCAAAATTAGAAATAACGAATCTCCAACTTTTCATACCCGTAATAACACCATCAATTGAAGTAGAAACGAGAATATTCAACTCGTTAACTAAAGATATTGAAATAGCTTTACTTCATCGTAATACGGTAGGTAGCATGACTTTAACTGGAGAATCAACCACGTGGCCAATCACTAACACTATCAAACCAGCAAGATATTTAATGGTTGGTTTCAAGAACTTACCAGATTCTCAAACGAATAATGATAATGTCTTTAGAGTGGCAATGAACCAAACTCAAAATCCTTTAATCCATAAAGTTCAAGTAAGATTAAACAACGATAATTATCCTAACCAACCTTTAACAATTAATCCAACCACAAAGGATTATAATGAATTGTATAGAAACTATAAAAATATGTGTGAATTATTTGGAAATCTACCTCAGTTTGAATATGTAGATTTTGCACTTAATCATCCAATCTTCTGTTTTGATCTATCAGCTCATCAAGAAGATCTTTTCAAAACAGGAGTGAACATAAATATTCATATTGAAAAAAAAACAAGGAGATGTAACAGGTTATTGTTTATTATTGGAAGAAGCAAAACATTTAATTAAAATAGATGATCGAAGAATGATAAGAATTGAGTAAAAAATACACCCTTAAAATTGAAAGTAAAAACTTTAGTTATGAAAATAATAGAAGCTGTTGAAACAGATTCCCCAACTGTAATAACTTTCAACGGTAAAAAAATCAGCATAACTAAAAAACTTATTGATAAATACAAATATTGTAAAGTCAGAGACGATATATATTTAGAAAGAATTGATACAAATGTAAAAAAAGGTGGATTTATATATTCCCTACCTTTAATATTTGCTGGTATTACCGCGGCGGATACAGTGGCTGGTGCTACAGCTGGTGGAGTAAGCGTTGCCAACGAAAAGAAAGCAGCTGCAGTAACAGCAGCCGAAGAAAATAGACACATTTTAGAAATAGGAAAGCTAGGAAAGCAAGCCGCTGCTGCAAAGAAAGCAGCTACTGTAAAAAAAGGTTCAGGAGTGGGAGATATGATAGGCACATTGAGAGAATTTGGAAAAAGATTTAGTGAAGAAACCAAGAAAACTGTTAAACAAGGATTAAATAAATTAGTAGATAGTATTGATACGGGAGAAATCAAAGTCAAACATAAGGGTAATGGAATTTTTTTAAAAAAAATATACACACTGAAGAAGGAATATATCTTTCAAAGTATAAAGGAGTAGGAGTGATTTTTGGAACAAATTAAAATAATAAAAAATAGGCAAAAAATTTAATCATTCAGAAATATTTCCTAATAACCCTATGCTCATGTGTATATGCGGTAGTTCCGGTTCTGGGAAAACTCATCGCACTTTTAACATGTTGACAACACCAAACCTTTTAGATTTCGATTCTCTCTTTATCTACACAACAACACCAGAGCAATCATATTATCAATTCCTCAAAGCTTTAGAATATCTACCAAAGAAAGATGTTCAAGACCTATTTTAATATTACGAAGAAAACGAAGAAGAAGTGGAAATAAAAGATATCATAGATAACTACATCGAAGGAAAGAATCCAACGGATATAAAAGTTTTTCTTGTGAAAAATGTTAATGATCTAGACTTGTCTAATATTGATAGCAAACGAAGGAACTTAATATTGCTTGACGACTGCGTAGCGCAAAGTAATCAAGCTGTTCAACAAGAATTCTTCACGAAAGGAAGACATCACAACTGTCACTGCATATACCGATCCCAATCTTTTTACGGGATGGATTCTATGTTCATTAGAAAAAATGCAAATTGTTTTTTATTATTTGAATTAAACGATAAAGATTTATCTCAAATCATTCAGTCGATAAATCACGGAATGGACAGAGATGCATTTAAAAAGGTTTGTAAAGCTCAATGGAAAAACCCAGATGATCATGGATATATATTCGTTAATACTAGAAAACCTACAGGTGAAAGAGTTATGACAGACATTTGTTAAATTTTATTTTTTTAAAATTGAGTAGCGATTGGAATAATATTTTAAAAAGAAATAAAGAATATATCAAAGCTAAGAATAAAATAAAGACCCAAGTTGAAAATAACAGATTACAACAACTCTGATTAACGGAAAATCTACAAACTCTATTTCAACCCATATTAAAATCTCAAGAGGATATTAAAAAGAAATTAGAACCTAAACAAATTCAACAACCACTGTTTCCTTCTCCTCATCAAATAGAATATCCCATTGAATATGATGGTCTTATAATTAGGACATTAGATGATATAAATCATTATTTTTCAAACCCTGACACAGATTTACGAAAGAGCATTTCACCAATTGTTGATAATGATGGCTTATTGTTTAATGGATATAGAATAACATTTAGTAAAGTTTCCCCCAAATTTATAATCGATACAAAAGACTTTATATTTACAACAACAGAAGGATTAATACATTTAATGAATGGGGAGGATCCTGGTATTGCCGATTATAAGGATTTAGTAGAATACTCCAAATTTCTAGATGAAATAAGGAGGGGACGCGAAACAAATAGATCGAAAGAAGTTAAACTATATATAAAAGCAATTGAACATGCTGAATACGAAGTTGACGAAGCGAGTAATTATGGAGAAAATTATCCACCAATCACAGAACAAATAGACGAATTGGAAAAGGAGATAGCTAGAGAAAACAGTGGACAAGGTATGACGTTTTTATCCGACAACAATGAGAAACTACTTAATTGATTACAAATTATATTAGCGGCAATGAAGGAAGGATATCGATCACACAGACAATATAATGAAGTAAATTGTATATTAAAAAGACTCCTAGAAAAAGGTATCATAGATAAAAATGATTATAAAAGCGTGATTAAAAATGTCAAATAAAGAACAACTATTCGTCATCACCTCAAATAAATCAGACATTAAATTATATCTAGATTATGAGTACGAACTCGATCGCAATCAAGAATATGAATTGGGATTAAAGTATTTCTCTGTTTACAATTCCATTAGAAATATCAACGAAAAAAATAATCAAATAAAAATATCAACAGATAACGGAGTTACGTTCAAAACCATACGTTTACTACCAGGAAGGTATGAATACATAGCCATTAACGAATATGGAGGAAGTGTCAATGGTAAAAACAATAATGAATTCGAAGGCAATTTGAATCTGAACAAAAGAAAATTGATATTAAGAAATAATAGTCAAGTTGATTTCAACGTAGAAAATTCATTGAATACGTTACTAGGACTTGATAAACGAGTATACACCCAATCCACTTTAGCACCACACAAAGATAATATCAAGAATGATATCGATGTTATAAATATACATTGCAATTTGATAAACGGTGGATTTTTGAATAAATACAAACGTCAGATTATTTACAGTCTTCCAACATTCACTGTACCGATAGGATATAGAATTATAGAGAAACCATTTCAAACGACGTATTTACCACTTAATTCCTTTATGATTAAAGATATAAATCTGGAAATCAAAGATGGTAAAAATAGATTTATAGATTTTGGTAACGAGGAAATTGTTATTCAACTTCATTTAAAGCAAAAAAATTAACACTCTTCTTGAATAGTAAGGTAATCGAAATCATCAAATACGTAGTTTTCATCCAAGCACATCTCCTCTTTATCACTGTAAGGATACATGATTCCTTCATCGTCCGGTGCTTTTCTCTTTATGAGATTCAGATAACTTCTAAATTGTTTAGTTTGTTTTTCATTAGGAATAACTATTCCATCAGTAAAACTCTTCCCCCATGGTTTATCAAATTCATTCGTTACGTCATGTACACTAGCTAATTGAATATAATCCTCTACCCTAATCTTATAGTTAGAGTAACCCTTAAACGTTTTCTTTTCTTTTAGAATACCGTCTGAAGTTAGAATGATATTGTATTTAACTTTTGGCGCTAAATATAAACCAAATATGATTCCACCATCACCATAATCATTCTTTCCATTCATTTTTGGACACCAACCCAGCTTCATTTAATTTATCCCAATTGCTAGACGAAATGTATAAACTATCGGTATCCGTATAGTATATTTCTGGTTTATAAAAAACATCTATTACGTGAATAAAATTATTCATTATTTTTTTACTGTGAGATAATATAAATGTACCTAATTGAGTGGGTGTTAATCTCGTAAAATCCTTTGGAGGAACAAACTCTTTTTCTTCGTCATTAATCTCCACAATGTATTGACTATCATTTAGTTTGTCATACTTCTTGACGTGTTTGTCGTAATTAAGGCGAAATGTTTCTTCATTCCATAAATGCAATGAGGTATTTCTATCTGAATATCTGAATAGATTTACCATATAAGGAATTACCTAAAAACTCCATGCAGTTACTGGCAATCACATCTCCTTCCTTTTTATATTTATTCCTTAATTCCTTCAAAATTAAAATATAATCTCTATAGGGTGGAGTTTTGAAATTTTCTTCGTAAACTATACCATCTAATATTTTAATAATTCGTCCACCGGCTTTCACTATTTCTTGAATATCGACCGATGTTAAAACATCTGAACAAAAACCATTTCTAAACCTAATTTTAGTGCCAGTTTCCTTTTTACCTATTCTATTCGTGAAAGTGATTTTATCTTTAGCTGGTATGGGTTGGAAGAACATGTTTTTGGGATATTCAAACCAGACTTTCAAAATAGCAGTTCTAGGTCTGAATTTCTGTTCATTAAAGAGCTTAACAAATTCTTTATTTTCTTCTGGTAGAAACGCTCTTGCACTTTCAGCTTTAGGATATTCACCTTCTGTCATAGCAGAGGCGTACAAACCGTTAGCGTCAAATGCCATCAGTTTAGTACATTTTATTTTTTTAAGTCTCGAATGAACTTCCGTTTTTTCTTTCGTGCTAGCGCTGTATTCTTTAAATAAATCTATTATGTTATTACTCTCGAGTTCTAAATACTCTTATAAAATGGCGCAAATTTCATCCATTTTGTTCGTTTCAAATGATTTTCTGTTAGCAGAAACTCTTCCTCCTTTAATACTTTGTCTGATAAAATATCTTATAAAAGGATGAGTATGTGAGCAAACTTTTTCTACGTTTTCTTTTTCGGTGTGTTTCGGAACCATTCTAGTACTTTCGTACCATTCTTCTTCAGCCATTTCTTTATAGTAATGATATAAATAATACCAACCCTTTAAAGATAAAGAAGGAACCGTTAGATTATTTGAAACGTTTTGGAAGACAGTTTCTTTCATTGCTTGATTGCATTTTATCAAACAAGCTCCGAGACATAACGTATCTCTTTTAGCGTAAGGTTCCCATTCGTGTCTTAAAGATTCCCAATTATCTTTGGTGTATTTTGTAATATTGATATCGGCAATCTTTCTCAAATTCATCGGTAGATTAGACGAATTTCCCCATGCCGCCAAACTAGATTTTTCATGTTGATAGGAACAAGTGAGACATATATTTTGTAAATATTTATTTTTATCAGATATTTTTATCTCTCCTTTCTCTCTTTTCTCTCTTTTCCATTTTTTCTGCAATCTTTCTTCTGTATATGGATTAGATAAAGGAAGAGATAGAATTTTATTATCTGTTACTAGTGGACATTGTGTTAGTTTATTAATGCTTTGAAGTGCAATCCAGTTGTCAAAACCACTCCCGTTATGGGAAATTAAGGTTAATCTTTTTTCATCTACTGTACCTAAACGACGCATCATCTGATCGAAACAATCTGTTCCTACAAATATTTCTACTATATTAGTCATGAGTTTGTTGTAAAATTCTTCTGGAATGGGATCAGTTGGCTTTAAATCTGGGAATACTCTTTTAATTAGTTCTAGTTTTTTCCTCAGTTTTTCCAAATTGACTAAAGTACAACAATAAGGAATGGCTTTATTTTCGTTATAGGTTTCGCAATCCCATGCGTATAAAGTATCATCATGAGGTTGTGAAATCACGTTTAGTTTTAAATGAGCAAAATATGTTAGTGCATCATCATCCCCACAGGTTCTCCATACATTTTCATCGTAATTATCTTATATTTCTTTAATGCCTAAGGTTTTGTTATTTCTTCTTATCAAACAGAAATGTTCTTTGTTTAAATAAAATACCCAATCTAATTCTTCGGATACTTTCTTTGGTCGAAAATGTCTATGTTTGGGCATATAAATTGGAAAATAAGTATTAAATTTCTTATTGAATTCAGAGATTCTAGCAGATGTGATAACTCCTTTTCTGTTGGATTTTTGAAAACTATTGACGAAATCTTGAAATTCTTTTGTTAAGTCTTTATTCATGAAGTGATTTACACACTTTATAAAACAATAACCATCGCTTGGTATGAAACAATTTTCGCCTTTGTATTCATTTATCTTTTTAAGTAAATTACCACCTGTGCCAGTTTTAGATCTTTTTACTATTCTAAAATTATTTTTGCGGAAAATAATCTCTCCGGTAAAATACCAATCAGATGCGTCAGATTTATCATGCATCTTTGAATAAATAATCTGGAAAGTTTGAGCATTGAATCCAGATAATCTCATGTCTTGTCTATATTTCCCCACTTCATATATTTGACCATTTATTTCAATTTGACCTTTAATTTTAAAATCCTTAAATAGAATAGTTATTCTCTTGATTAATTCTGAAAAAAGCATATTTGTGGTTGATATTTTAATTTCATTCTCCTCTTCTTTAAAAATTTCGGCTGTCCTATCAACTAGATATTTAAATTTTTCTTCATCTTCTTCGTCAAATTTACGCGAAAATAAATTAGGTATTGCCTTGAATATCTTTGAAAAAAGTGTTTTAGATAGAGGTTTTTTTTTAAATTTTCAATTTTATCCATTTTCTTTTTTAAGTATCTATTTTTAATTAGGAATTTTTAACTTTTATTGATGATATTTCTACATCAAATTTATCTAAAATTTCATTGAATTTTTCTAATTCTTCAACTGTTATGTTCTTGTCTTCTCTCGAAGAAATATAAACAATTTATTAAGATATGTATTTAAAATTTCTGTTTTCTTTTTATAATGAGCTTTCTGTTTTGATGTAAAACCTAAAGTAATCAAACCACAAGATGAAGTTTGAACGGCAGTGAACGCGGCTAATACAGTTGGGACAATTATTGGAAGCATTAATCCACCGGTTACGGCTGTTGCCACCGTTATTCCTACTGTTAAAACTGTACTTAATGTTTTGAAAACAGATCGATTTTACTCCATGTTTTTCGACATTTGTTGAATTATTTTAGTTTTTCTTTTAGTTTGTTTTGTTTTTCTATCATATATTGTTGTCTACTTTCGAGTTCTATTTTTTAGGTAATTAAATCAAGTGAATTTCTGATAAAGCTACTATGTGTTTACTATCATCAATAATAAATTGAACAGATACTAACGATATCTATCTATCTATCTATATTTTCCACTCGTTTTAATTTCATATAAGTGATCAACCTTGGTGTTTTAGTCGTTAATTTCGAATTCTTTAGTTTCTACATTGTTTGTACCATTGATAAACTGAAGAACTTTTTGAGCGTTAAATTTTTTATCAGAAAAATGAGAGTCTTGTATGAAGAATATTGAATCAACTTTTACCTGAAAAGGGAAAGTAAAATCTATTGGATGATAATCATCCTCATCTGTATCAAAAATATTATTGGGATGAATAGTATAATTTTGAACAAAATATACTCTAATATTTGCTGTAAATCCATATGTTTTATATTCATAGTCTTTTGATTTATCAATATTATTAGTAATAGAAGCACTAAAAAAACCCAAATTTCTAAATGGAAGATTGAAATAATATGATTCTTTCTTGAGAAACTTTTTTTCTAATGCGACTATATTTTTGTCCTGTTTCAAAACTAGGTTATTAATAGTGGTTATCTGTTGTTGAATAACACTATCATCAATGTTCTGTATTTGTTGATGAATATAGGTTTTGATTTCGCTATCATCTATGCTTTGTATTTGTTGTTGAATATAGGTTTTGATTTCGCTATCATCTATGTTTTGTATTTATTGTTTAATATTTGTTAGTTCTTTTTGTAATAATTCACTGTTAAGTTTGGTTTCCAGAGCATTTAATTCCTGTTGAAACGTATCTTCATTTTCATCTGGAATGTTATCTATCAATTGTTGAATGTCTAATTTTTGTTTAATCTTATCCTCTAATTTAGATATTAATGAAATTAAATTTTGTAACTCAGTTTTATTCTCTACGTTGACCAATTCTTTTTGAATAAAACTTATTAATCTTTTTACCTCTTGTTGTAGTTTAGTATCATTAACAAAATTTTTATTATTTAGTTGACGTATGAAGAATCTTTTCACATTACTTATTTTATCTTCTAAATGGTTTTTATTTACTTCAATTGAATTTATTTGATCCCGTAAATATTTCTTGTGAACAGCGTCATTATCGTTTTCCGGAGACTTTGAATTAGTTACTTTGAAATTGTTCATATCTAAATCACCTTGAAGAGTGTCACCGATTTGATCCGTGCAAAGTAAGGTTTCGCTTTATTTATCCACGCTGTAGTGTTAGGTTTTTTAGTTTCTAAAGATAAAGAACCTAATCCAAACTTGTTCGCCATTTTTATTGAGTTAAATTTAATACAATTTCTTCGAATTGTTTTCCTAAACTCAACTGATATAAAACCCAAAGTGAAAGCTGACCACAAAACTTTTGTCCCGGTAATTGAATTTGAAAGGAAGAACATTTGATTGGTTTATTAGTCAATTGCATTATCTCTTCAGTGAGTTCTAATCCATAAGAATCGAAGAAATATAAGTCAGAGTCTTTGTACAAAGCAGAATGATGAAGTTTGTGGTTGTATCGGTTGCATATTTATCGAGAAATTCATTCATTTTTAAAAGTCGATTTTTTGAGGAGTATTGTTGAAATATATACGTAGTTTGTGTTTGAAAAAAATTGTATTACATTCTGATAAAACACATTCAATAATATTTTGAACATAAATTTAAATTTAAGAAAGCGTAAATGCTTGTCTACATCTCTTAATCTTCTATCAAATTCTTCATCTTCGAGAAATTCATTCATTCATTCATTCAAAAAGTCGGTTTTTTGAAGTTCATTTTGATAAAACCTACCTATGATTTGTTCTTTGTCTTGATCGATTAATTCATATGTGGGAGGTGATGTGCTGTTTACTTTATCAACGATGAATATTTCGTTTGTCCAGTATCCAACGTAACCTTTTTCGAATTTGCTTTTATATTTGAAAATACGAACTCGATCTCCGACTTTAAATTTGGGTTTGATATTTAAATTCTTTATTTCATTTTCGTAGTTATGTTGCGCGTTAATTGACTTTATAATATTTGGATTACTCGAGGCTTGTGTTGGTGTGACACCTATAGATGTATTGTATTCATCTAAAACCTCTGGTAATATTTTAAGCCGTTTGAGATTTCAATTCCGTGAACTTTTTGAATAATTTATTTCTTAGAGTCCTGTTAAATCTTTCTATTACTACAGCTTTACCTTCGTTATGGGTGCTTTAAATTTCAAATCCCAGAGATTTCATATTTTTATTATAAAATTCACTTCCTTTATCTACCCACAGTTTTTCTGGATGTCGGTTAGATTGTTTCATAATCATTTCAAATGCGTGTTTGACTGATAATCCCGTTTTGTTTTTCAAAGGAATAACCAAAGCATATCTCGTATACAAATCTATAACTGTTAAGCGGCCCATACACGATCAATAATATCGCACAATAGTATTGCGTGAACTGACATTGCGCAGTTATATTGACCGTGTGTGGGTGATATTGAAGGCTTGCACAATAGTATTGTGCAAGCCTCAGAATTTCTAAATCTGGTAGAAATTTTCAGGCTTGCGCAATTATTTCATTTACAGTGTGTGGGATTTTTCAATTATATTGTGCAATATATATTCATTTTACACGACCGGTCGTCGACCCCTATACCGCCTCCTGAGGAATCCCCACATGAAGTCGCTGAATATTTCTCTTCTTTTGTACCATGAACCAAACAGTATTTGAAAAGATTAAATTAGCAGTTGCTCCACAGAAATGTTGGGGACTTTGTTTTGTTAATTGATTTCACAGTTTTTATGTTTTATGTGTATTTATTTTATGATATTATCCAAATGACACTTTTTTTATTTCTATAATTTCTAGAAAAGAAATGATATAAACCAAATTTAACTGAAATTGTGTTTTATGCTTACCTTAATATATGGTCCAAGGCACGTTATGAGGGCCTCGCAAGCCTCGATGACGATTTTCCCTATGGCCTGAGGTGATATAGCTGTGTTGAATTTCAAATCCTCGAATGAATTTCCTGTAGCCAAATACCGTAGCGTAACTGAAAGTCGCTCACTAGGGGAAATTGGATCTCGCATGTTTGTCTTTTGTTTTTCAATTAGAGGCGTTATCATATCTAATAGTTCATCAAAACTGTTTGCGTCCATTCTCAAGAAATTCTTGAAATCCTCCGGCTCATTGGTTCGCAATTCAAGCAATAATGACTGGTTGCCGAACTTACGTCCACGCTCTAGAAACCATTGTTTTGCCCAAATCCTTCGCCTGCTCCGCTTTCTACGTCTAGAAGCAAATATCAACGCGATAGCGATCGATGCATCCATTCTGGTCGAAGTTTAAAGTAGAAATGATGCACTTTTGCTCAATACTATTGTGCGATTTGATTGAATCGTGTGTGTCGGTCAGAAAAATAACTCAATTCGATTGTGCAATACTATTGTGTAATATAATTGATCGTGTATGGGCCGCTTTAAGCAATATTTAAATCCTCTTTCGACTGGCATATGAATTAAATCGGCTGACCATATTTCATCTTTTTCAAACACTTTTACTTTTAAAAAGTTTTTAGTTTTTCTAAATTCTTTATGAATTTCATCCGCTAATCCCATGCCCAATTTCATCTTTGCTTTTAACAGTTTTATGATTAATGCTCTTTGCATTCTCTCTTTGAAAGTTGGATTTGGAATATTTTCAAGTTCGATTATCATGTGTCTGTCTGCTTCGTGTCTAAAGTTTATGTCTTTGTTTCTGTATAGTATGTCGTGTTTAAGCGCAGCGGCGTCAACTCTATTGACTGGTTCTTCCCCTGGTTTGGGTTTATCGTTTTCGTCTAATCGCAGATCTAACCTAGTACCTGGATCAGTGTAATTATGACCTGGAAGATGTTTTTCTCCGGGATATTTCGCCCATGGAAATCCAGGAAGAGAAGCCAATGATTTTTGTATATCTCCTGAACCGAAATAAGTTTTTGGAGCGTGAGCGACAATCATTTTTATCCTATAACTTTAAAATCTTTTCCTTTCCTTTCTTCTAATCTCCTGTTTCGAAGTTCTCTTATTAGCTCTAATTCTTTCAACTCGTTAGATTGTTTCACTGTGTCGCTTATACTCTTTCCCGCTTCCGCGATTGAGCCGATGGCTTTCGCTCCAGTTGAAATGAGTGATTTGTTTTTTGAAACAAAGCTAGCTACTTTTGGAATTATTGTTTTACCTAGAGAAAATAATGAAGAAAAGATACCGTCGCCCGAAAACTCTTCGAATCTGTGTTGTTCGTGTTTTAGAATTAAACTCATCCTTTTTTTAAATGAAATAATTTAACGAAGAAATTGTGGTCTGTTTTTTTTTCCAAAACAAGAGTTATCTCCCTTTTCTAGAAGTTTCAAGACTAAAAATAACATTACTTAAAACGAGGCTATTAAAAAACCGGATGTTATGTTATTTTATATAAGGATATTTTTAATAAGCTTTTTTTTGATGGAATGTAGGAAATTGATTGAAGGTGTTTTTTGGTCTTTTTTAATGTAAGAATTTATGAAATGTAGGATGTTTTATGAAATGTAGGATGTTTTGCTGTAAGAATTTATGAAATGTAGGGAATTAAGGTCTTTTTTGGGAGTTTATACATTGGTCGCATTTTCCCCATGAAATGAAATGGAATGGGGAATCCCTATGCGACCAATGTGTAAGTTCATATACTACTTACGTTGATAAAAATATAATTTGTTTAAGTTTACATTACAATTCTTTCCTAGTAATCTCAACCCAAAAGTCACAAATATTTATGTCCTCCGTAAAAACAAATTTTGAAGATATAATGTGTGCTCATGCTTATATTTCTATCAATGCAAAGACATTCTGACTGACAGTTCTATTTTGGGGCTGCTATTCCTATTGCAACAAAAATAATGGGAACAATTAAAAAAAACTATTTGCTTTGCTCAGACAATAGTGTTCACAAACTAAATAATGTTTTCAACGGATTCGTAAATATTTTGTTTCAAACAGTCGAAATCACTCTGAAACCTGCCGAACGGCAGCCTATTTACAAACAATTTATTGCGACGAGACCCACAACTTCTTCACGACGAATGAAATCATGTCATCTTTAGCTGTTTTGAAATGAATTAATACATCCCGGCCCTTGGGCCACAAACATTTTTTAAGTAGCCTACATTTATTTTCTTAAATATTGAAATTTACTCAAATTTTTAATCTTTAGTAAATTCCGAGGCCACAAATATTTACTGAGAACGTTTTTTTATTCAGCCTAAGAATATTCTTAAGTTTTTTACTCAGTCTGAGAATTTTCTCGAACTAAGTAAAATCGGGGACATCAATCAATCAATCAATCAATCAATCAATCAATCAATCAATCAAGCAGGTTTATCATGGAGCATTAAGAAAAATGACTTATAGCTCCACAAAGCATATATTATATTTACTGCCGGTTCGGGTGTTGGGGACACCTTTGATTGTTAGGACCAAATATTTTAAGTTGACCACTTTAACAATAATCCTTTTTATGGGTATAGGCTACGGGATGGGAAACGCAGATCTATGGACGGCTGCGTCAGAAACTCTAAATGGCCCACAATTGTAGACCGTGCCTATCCCGTATAATCAATAAACACAGGTCTAATTGTTTATTGCGATTACAAATTGGTAAAATATAACTTTTTTATATAGTCCGCATTTTATTTAAGTGCTCGGTTTTTCGCGATTAAACTGGCCCCTTATTCCAATTTCGTTTTAAACATCTGATAAAATTAAGAAATTAGACGTATTTTTTCAAAATGAAACTTTTACATTAAATTTTAGCGATAGTAGACCATGGCATTAACAACAACAATTAATAGTTTAATATTTTACTGGTTTTTTTTTCCATCATTTAAAAAAACAACGAATTTTAACAATTCTATCTTGTTTCTATTCGCTTTGTTTCATAAATATGCTACCAGCTATGTAATAGGACCCTCATCTAATGTCCCAATTCATAAATAGGCCTAATGAAATATTTTCAAATGCATTTGTTGGACCTGTATAAACAAAGATCGAACTTTAGAAGAAAAGATGTTGACCGCAAATTTATCACGTTGAAACAATTCTTATGGTCAACAAAACACGAAAGTTCATTTGTTCTGATATCATTGAGCACGTTATATTACATAAAAAATACAAAATGACGAAAAACAATGATCGTACAAATTGCCAAATTTTGACGTAAACGAAAAATAAAATTTACGAAACGAAATATATTTATATTTAAATAATTAATATGGTAAAATAAAGGGTATTCTATGACAGAATATAAATAGAAAATTTTGAAGAATTTTTTTAAAAAAATATAAATATTAATATTTCTTGGTACATTATAATAACTCGTTGCACAAAATATTTTTTGGAGTAGTCTATAAATAAATAAATTCTTGGAACATAATTAAAATTTGTGACATTAATTTTTGGGGAATAAAAATAAAATACAATTCTTGGGACCTTGACTTTTAGTCTTGGTATATAATATAATGATTTTGGTATATAATTAAACTTCTTGGTATTTAATATGAATTTATTGGTATAAAATGTAAACTTCTTGGTACTTGATATGAATTTCTTGGTATGATTAAAGATTTTGGTATATAATATGGGTTTCTTGGTATAAAATTTCAACTTCTTGGTATGTGATTTTTTTCATGTTGTTTTTTTTTTTCGTTTAGGCATTCCATAGATTGTGTAACATAAATCACACAAAAAAGGATTATCTATTTTATAGGCTATCATGTCTATATATACATATATTGTGATCTGAAAAGTCATGTATGTCAATTGGGTTGTTTCCCTTGAAAGAAAATGAAGGCCTGTGACTGTGAAAAATGACAGAAAAGTAGAGTAGGCCTTTATATCTAGATTTATAGGCCATCGTGTCACATTACCCTCCCAAAAAACAGTAAGTACCTGGCTCCTCCCACAAAAATTCTTCAACTTTTTTATTTCAAAAATTTGCCTTTTAATCAAACCTGATAGTGATAAAGGCAACACCAAACTTGGCCGACAGCAGTAGCCTATATATCCATCAGTGGACTTACCTGTTGTTATAACTAATACATCAAAATCCCTCTATAGTCCGATGAATCCACAAAATCAAGTAATTAATTATAAAACGCTTAATACATCCAGTAAGCGATTTTCAAATTGTGAATCTTGGAAATCCATTGTAATGACTCTCACACGGGGTTTCCCGCGTCCTTGACCTCTACTCTGGAATTGACTACGACATCGTCAGATATTTTTTGAAGATTGTACGATATATAAATTCACGGAAGACCTAGAAGAGGCAATTCATATCATATAGAATGATTTCTCCACTTCGAATATTGATCATTGGCAAAGTTTGTTTGTATACACCGGAAGATGATTGCCATTTTGCGCTTGCGCATTGATGTACTTTTCCTTTTTCCTGTTTTAGCATTGATAACCAGACTCTTTTTTCTCAAACTGAATGGAATCGTCGGTTACTCACTTGTTTTTTTTTTTAAATTCTGATTATAGTTTATTGTCGCTTTTTCAAACTTGATAAAGTGTGGGATTGCATACTTATTTAACCAATGGTCACTATTAAACACATAAATAAAAGCCACAGGACGAGTGTATTTTAAGAAGTTCTATTCCTTTATGAATATTATCAGGCTGAGTAAAAACAATTTCTCAGCAAAATTTTACATGGCCTCGGATTTACTCAAGATTAAAAAAATTTACTAAATTTCAAGATTTGAGAAAAAAATTGCACTAAACGCCATTTTGAATTTCAAAATGGCGACCATCGAAAATACTTTGTTGTTGATATTTCTGAATGTTAAATTGAATGGTTGACAATCAGTGGTGGAACCTATATTCGTACATATAAGGATTCAACACCGAATTTTTTAAAAAAAGATATGTATTTTTTAGTCTTAGATGTTTCTTCAGATATTCTATAAAATAATTAGAATTGGTTTGTTTCGATTTTCTTTATGAATCCCTCACCTTGACCAATATTTCACGAGTAACAAACGCGACAACGGCTACCAAATGCGTCACTTATTTTCGTGTATGGTACCCAGTGGTATAATTACCATTTCTTAGTATTCATCTTTAATAATATTTCATTTTAACTAATGACAATTCCTTCAAAGAACAATGCTTTTTTTTTTTAAAAAAAATATTGACTCAAATAGGATAAGTAAAACGTAAGAGTAATATATCGCCAAAATTCATTAAAACAACATAAGAATTTTCCCACATTGTGTTCGATAGAATTTATCATGGAATCCGCTAGTTTTTTACGTGACTTTGCTCACTGGAATATATTCTAGCAAACGACACTTGGAATTCCGATTACAGCTTGAGATTATAAGGAAATTTGACCGATATAAAACTGTGATATTTGGTTTTAATTAGAATCCGTCATTTTTATGTTAGAAATAGATATTAAATTTTTCATTGTTTTGAAAAGATAGGAAAAAGTTGACGTAGAGATAACCCATGTTTATCAAAACATGCAAATGTGAAGGTCACGGCGAGGTCGCACATGTAAATTATCTATCATTTCCGGAGATACACATTAGGTTGCCTACTGTATTACTTTTGGTTATTTTGGAGAGACAAATACTGAATGATTTTTTGTTGTCTTTATTACAAAATGTTTTAAGTACTGGTAGATGTTGTAGTTTGTAATTTTATATAAAACATGCATGGCTTTCTGGAAAGTTGAGTTTAAGGGTCCTAAAGAGAAGGTGTCTTTTACTGATTTTGAATCAATATAAGTTAAGCTTTTATCATGCATGGAATATGTAGTATTAACCTATTGGTGCATTTTGTATAGTAAATTAATGAATACATTCAAGTATGTTGTGCATAAAATATACATTCAATTATATAGTTAATATCTGAAACATTGATAGCAGTTGAAAAAATCAGTTGTAACTATATTGTATTTTCACCTACTATATAACTTTGAGTAAATAACTGGGACCAAATTGCATTGTGACCTAATGGTGAACAATTTACCAGACGCTCGATTTGTTTTGTCACATTGACTTTATGACGACTGGAATTGTTCATATAGCGGAGATAATTTTGCTCCTTAAGATTGAAAAGGTACAACTGACCCGATGCCAGATGCCAGACCCGACCCTAGTAGCCTAGGTCTATCCTATAGGGGCTTGTTTCACATTTAAGTAAAGATTTAAATTTTCCAGTCATTTGATTGTAGTCTTACAAACCATACAATGGATTTTTAATTTTGATTAGGCCTACATCTTAGTAAAAATTTTGTAAAAAAAAAATGTAAGCAATCAAGACAAGTAGGCCTATACCAGTTTAGTATGTCAGTTGACGTTAGAAGAAACTGACGCTACTGTACTGTGGTCATGGAAATAAAATGACGTCGTTAGAAAAATGTCGGCTTCCATGGGACGTTACAGTCCGGAAGAGCCTTAAAAATTTTCTGTACGACCGCTCACCAAAAAGAAAATTGAATACAATTCGGTAAGTAGTCTACCGTGTAATTTTTATTATTATCTTTTGCGCAATTTAGACCTATAGGCTTATGCTATATGCTTTGCTATAGACTTGGTCTAGTCAGAATAACGACATTGCCATTGGCTCCGGCTTAAATTTGTGATTTTAAAGGCTAATTTCTATCTGTTAAGGAATAGATTATATTACAAAAATCGACACTGAATTCAGATTGAAATCAATTTGACAGATTCCACAAAATGAATGACACAGGCATGATTTTTTTTTATTGTCATTGATGTCTTAATAGAATAGGTGTAGCCTAGTGTTCTATTTTTCGTTTTGGCTAATTGATCCAGGGGCCTTATTCTCCAAAACTTAACTTTTAAGAAATACAGTAATCTGATTTGTTAACAAAACGTAATTTAATTTTAGTGATTGACCAATGATATGACTGGAACACTAAAATCATCTTAAGTTTTCAAGAATAAGGTCCCAGGTCAATAGCTTATACAATGAACTATGAACAGTGTACGGGTGTGTGAACACTATATTCCGATAAACGAGTTTGTTTTCATTGGCGGTGGTTCATTGGGGTTGGGGGGAGGGGGGGTGTTGGAGTTGCATATTTTTTGCCCCCTTCCCTAGAAATATGGTTCCAATTGCCAATTCTAACAAATAAAAAATTGATTCAGTGCGTTTTAGCTACAAAATATGTGTCCAAATGCTCCGAATCTATTCTATTTTTCGAAAAAATTCCAATTATTAGTAATAGAATTTTTTCCATCGATTCATTGAAATAATGGCAAATGCTAAAGCTCACTTTTCAATCGATCTTCTGGGAAATATCTTGTAGAGTGGACACGATCTAGGGAATAGGCTAACTCTTTTAGTTCAGGCATTACATGTTCTGTCGTAAATCAGTGATTTTTTTTCTGAAACTAAATTATGATTGGTCAAAAAAAGAAAAAAAAAATTGTATAAGCTTAATTGAAAATACTTAGGGCCATATGCAGCGCTCGTACTTTACCTAAACATTGACTAAAGTCAGATGCAGCGCTCTTACCTTCACTAAAGTTGAATTTTGGCTAAAGTCGAACTTTACAAAGTTAGGATAAAGGCTTTCATTTTCTACATTTCATAGTCAAATTTAAGCACGACTTTCGTAAAAATCAACCGGTGCATACCTAAAGTTCGACTTAAGTCTAACTTTAGCAAAAGTTTAGGTAAAGTACGAGCGCTGCATATAGCCCTCAGGCTTTTCAATCATTCTTTCTGGACTATCATGGCCATTGTGTCAGGAAATAGTTTTGTAAATGAAGTATTGCATTAAAAGCTTCCACAATATCGGTTGTCCATTATACTAGTAATATTTTTCGCCATCTTTATTTTTGTAGAGAAGCAAGAAATTGTTGAAAGGTTTTAGATGTAATTATGGATACCAGTGAATCTGATGAAAACAAACATTTTCAATCGTTAGATATTCTTGAAGAATCTGACAATATCCAATCTAACTCGCCTGCAAATTCAACAAAGAATGAATGCAGTCCGGCGCATGCAGCATCAGCCATTCCGTTTGTGTATTCAAACCAGCCATTAACTATTGATCAACAATATCAAGGCGAATCGATTTCTAGAAATGTATCTGTACCAGTGGCGAGATTGAGCACAAAAGCATTTCAAAGAAGATTGTTAAAACATGAACAACAGCAACCAATTACAAGAAAATTAAACAATTGTTTTTATGTAAAGAAAACGCATGAATCGTTTTCAGAGGTAAGCACATAGGTGTATCTATTTGGCAGAAAAGGGTGCGTGGTTCAATACAGGTTTCGCGCCAAGGGCTCTGCAACTCCAGTCAGTGAGGTAAATGAGAGATACTTATATATGGGACATTTGGAATCTGTAATAGAGATCGAGACATCGAATTA